AGTCAGAGGAGATGTGAGGAGAAATGTTTTCCCTGTGAGGGTGTTGAGGCACTGGAATATTTCCCAGAGAGCTGGTGGATTCACCATCCCTGGAGGTGTTTAAGAGGTGTCTGGATCTGGTGCTGGTGGATATGGTTTAGGGTTTAGGGGTTACAGCAGTGACAGGTTAATGGTTGGACTTGATGATCTTAGAGGTCTCATACAACCTTGGTGATTCTATGATTCCAAGGACCCCCAGGCCCTTTCCAGCACTATTTTCCAGCCACTCCTTCCCCACTCCGCAGGCACAGCCAGGATTGCCCCATCCCAGGTGTGCATTTCCCTGTGCACTGCTGCTGGTTTCCATCAGCGCTTCTCCCCAGGTGCTCCGTGGCAGTGGTATGGTCCTTCTCAGCTAGATGGGGCTGTGTTGTCACTGATGGCCCTGAAGCCTCTCCCACCACTGATCCTGGGACAGGCTGTGTGACACCCCTAGACTACCACCCTCTTCCTCCCCAGCTGCCCAGTCATGTCTGGTATCCCTTGCTGGGACCACTGGGACGTCACAAGGGTCTACAGTGCACTACTATGAGCCCCTCACCACTCTGCGGGAGAAGAAGACCTCTTTTATTGCATGTGATTGAGAGCTGTGACCTGCCAGACTCCACAGCCTGCTTAATCAGCAGGTTGTCCCTTGGTAAGAACTGGCTGTCAAACAAGCTTTTCCCAGAGGGTTCATGAGCTCCTGGAAGAGCAAGTCTCAGCTGGCTGGGGTTGATATGGCACCAGGACAGCCAGACCTGCTGCTCCTTGGCTCCTCAGCTCCTTTAACTTCATGCACAAATTGATTCTTCATGAAAGACCCTGTTGGGAATCATAGAATGTTAAGGGGTGGGAATGGACCTTAGAGATCATCGAGTGCCAACCCCCTGCCCTGAGCAGGGGCATCTCCCACCAAACCAGGTTGCTCAAGGCTTTAGCCAACCTGGATTTGAACAGGAATTCCAAATGCAGCTCAAGGGCTGGAATACTTTTGTACACCCTAAGTTGATCCTTCAAATGAAGCTCAGGGGTTGGAATACCTTCCCAAACCTTGAGCTGGATGCTCCAAAGGATGCTCAGGGGTTGGAATACTTTTGCAACTCTGAGCTGGGTGCTCAAATGAAGCTCAGTGCCTTGCAGGGCCCCACAGTCCAGCTGGTGGTGCTGATGGTGGCACCAAAAGATGCCTTATGACAACTGCTGCTTTGAGTACAGCTTTGCAGCCCCCCAAGCTGCTCAGCTGACATCCATTGGGGTTAGAGAGCAATGCTTTATCCCTTAAACACTCTGATCTCTGTGCTGAAGGCAGGGGAGGCAGAGGCTGCAAACTAATCTCACTGAGGCTTAATCCTCCCAGACTCTCAGTGCTTTGGTTTGCCTTGGATTGGAGGTCCTGAAACCTCTTGGAATCTCTGTGGGTGTCTGTGGCCAAGTGCAGAGACTTGCAGAAAGGATCATGCCCAACACTACAAACTGTTTTACCTACTGGAGAGCACAGGAGATAAATAGACGGGGTTGGTAAGATGTTTGGTTGAGCATGAACATGTTCATCACACTTTATACAGGCACTGATGATAGCTGGAGAGTCATTAAGGAGGTTGGGAGATGTTGGTGGCCTTGGAAAACTTTCATAGAATCATCAAGGTTGGAGGAGACCTCTAAGATCAAGTCCAATCATTAACCTGTCACTGCAGGAACCCCTAAACCATATCCTCCAGCACCAGATCCAGACACCTCTTAAACACCTCCAGGGATGGTGACTCCACCACCTCCCTGGGCAATATTCCAGGGCCTCAACACCCTCACAGGGAGAACATTTTTCCTGATATCCAATCTGAACCTCAAGTAGATTGATGAGAGCTCAGGAGAACAGGCAATAGATGTGGGGGAGAACAGCCTTTCCAAGTGCTGATGAGGCAACAATCCTTGTCAGCACTCTCCAGAGTCTGAACCTACATCATGGCACCACCAATTCCTTCCCTGTTTAAAGCTAGACAAATAAATTATTGCAAAGTAAGTAAGGAGTTAACCTCTCCAGGGTATACAGAGTTGTTGAAATTTGCTCCTCTAGTCTTGGCTTTTTCATTTCAACACTAAGAAGCCAAACAGGATGAACAAGAAAAGCTTGGCAAGAAGCAGTGGGATTGGAGAGGGATAACTGGGTGGATTTGTGAGGTGAGGAAGGGCTCAACCTCCCCAAGCTCTTCTTGAAGGTTTCATCACCAACAGCTCAGGAGCTCTTGAACTTTACTCCATGCAGTGAGGAGAGGCTGGTGAGGACAATGTCCTGCTACTGTGACCTTTGACAGCTGTGCCCAGCTCAGACCTCTCCAAGCCAGATGGGGTCTCTTTCCATTTCATCCCCTGGGAACCCTCTGCTGTGCCCACTGGCTGGAGCTGCAGAATGCTAATGAGCACCTGATGCCAGGCAGAGAGTCCCATATGGGGCAACATCTGGCATATTTTGGGCTGGAAACCCCTCCACCATGTTGCAGCATCAAGGCCTTGGTGGCACTGGGAAGCCAGAGCTGCATGGAGTTTGCTCATGGCTCCATGTACTCACCACCATGCTCATGCCAACCCTATTGTCCTCCTGGTGCTCTGGAGAGGTGAGATCACAGAATCACTGAGTCAATTAGGTTGGAAAAGACCTCCAAGGTCATCAAGTCCAACCTGTGACCCATCACCACCTTCACAACTAGACCACAAAGTGCCATGTCCAGTTGTTTCTTGAACACCTCCAGGGATGGTGACTCCAACACCTCCCTGGGCAGCCAATTCCAATGCCTGACAGCCCTTTCCATGAAGAAATTCCTCCTGAATTCTTCCAGCTGGGTTTTTTCCACCCAGGAGGTGATGTGGGACACTGCTCTGGGTGTGTTACCTCCCAGGAAAGACCTAACACCAAGGCCCAGATGTTTCCCTTTCACCACCTCTCAGACATGTCCTGTGCACTGATCTCAGATTTTATTCTTCTGTGAGGAGCTTTTCTCACCTCCTCCAGCCTCTTTAGAGCCACAGACAAGGTCACTTCCCTTATCTTCACTGTTAGGGTGTTCAGGCACT